CAGAGGCACAGCGGTCAGCAGGCAGGGTAACTTTCAGGCACACAGCGGCAGCAGGCAGGGATAACTTCCCAGAGACACAACGGTCAGCAGAGCAGGGGTAACTCTCAGGCACACAGCGGCAGCAGGCAGGGGTAACTCCCAGGGACAAAGCAATCAGCAGAGCAGGCAGGGGTAACTTCTCAGGCACCCAGCAGCAGCAGGCAGGGGTAACTCCCAGGGACACAGCGATCAGCAGACCAGGCAGGGGCAACTTCCCAGAGACACAGCGGTCAGCAGGCAGGGGTAACTCTCAGGCACACAGCGGCAGCAGGCAGGGGTAACTCCCAGGGACACAGCGATCAATAGAGCAGGCAGGGGTAACTTCCCAGAGACACAGCGGCAGCAGGCAGGGGTAACTTCTCAGGCACCCAGAGATCAGCAGACCAGGCAGGGGCAACTTCCCAGAGACACAGCGGTCAGCAGGCAGGGGTAACTCTCAGGCACACAGCGGCAGCAGGCAGGGGTAACTTCCCAGAGACACAGCGGCAGCAGGCAGGGGTAACTCCCAGGGACAAAGCAATCAGCAGAGCAGGCAGGGGTAACTTCTCAGGCACCCAGCAGCAGCAGGCAGGGGTAACTCCCAGGGACACAGTGATCAGCAGACCAGGCAGGGGCAACTTCCCAGAGACACAGCGGTCAGCAGGCAGGGGTAACTCTCAGGCACACAGCGGCAGCAGGCAGGGGTAACTCCCAGGGACACAGCGATCAATAGAGCAGGCAGGGGTAACTTCCCAGAGACACAGCGGCAGCAGGCAGGGGTAACTTCTCAGGCACCCAGCGGCAACAGGCAGGGGTAACTCCCAGGCACACAGCGGCAGCAGGCAGGGATAATTCCCAGGCACACAGCGGCAGCAGGCAGGAGTAGCCCCAGGGACACAGCGATCAGCAGACACTCAGCGGGGTCTGGGCTGTGGGGTCTGGCCTCGGCTCAGACCTCACACAGCTGTTCTCTCCTTGAGCAGGGGACCAACAAGCGCCCGGGTCCTGCTTCCTGGTTGCCCCGGCACTGTGAGAAGGGGCAGTAAAGCATATACAGTACATTGTGTAGCACTGTAATGCAGGAAGCAGGAAGAAGATTAGTTTTCTAAAGTCAGCAGAGCAGGCAGGGGTAACTTCTCAGGCACCCAGCAGCAGCAGGCAGAGGTAACTCTCAGGGACACAGCGATCAGCAGAGCAGGCAGGGGTAACTTCCCAGAGGCACAGCGGTCAGCAGGCAGGGGTAACTCTCAGGCACACAGCGGCAGCAGGCAGGGGTAACTTCCCAGAGACACAGCGGCAGCAGGCAGGGGTAACTCCCAGGGACAAAGCAATCAGCAGAGCAGGCGGGGGTAACTTCTCAGGCACCCAGAGGCAGCAGGCAGGGGTAACTCCCAGGCACACAGCGGCAGCAGGCAGGGGTAACTCCCAGGGACAAAGCGATCAGCAGAGCAGGCAGGGGTAACTTCTCAGGCACCCAGCAGCAGCAGGCAGGGGTAACTCCCAGGGACACAGCGATCAGCAGAGCAGGCAGGGGTAACTTCCCAGAGACACAGCGGCAGCAGGCAGAGGTAACTTCTCAGGCACCCAGCGGCAGCAGGCAGGGGTAATTCCCAGGCACACAGCGGCAGCAGGCAGGGGTAGCCCCAGGGACACAGCGATCAGCAGACACTCAGCGGGGTCTGGGCTGTGGGGTCTGGCCTCGGCTCAGACCTCACACAGCTGTTCTCTCCTTGAGCAGGGGACCAACAAGCGCCCGGGTCCTGCTTCCTGGTTGCCCCGGCACTGTGAGAAGGGGCAGTAAAGCATATACAGTACATTGTGTAGCACTGTAATGCAGGAAGCGGGAGCGGAGAAGATTAGTTTTCTAAAATCGGGACAACTTTTTCATTTTATAAAAATGTTCATGAATGCGCCCCAAAGACTGCAAAGCCTTCCTCTCCTTTTACTAATGTTTCAGAATAAGCACACAGCAACAGGGTGGGCTTTAATATTAAATGAAACCTGTGGTGAAAATTGTATAGAGGCTGCCATGTCTGACTTCTCTCTGAAAATGCCAGTTTCCTGGCTGCCATGATGATTCAGTGGCTCCATTACTTTCCAAGGCATACTGTAGACCTAAAACAAGTACACATATCAGGATTTCCAAGATTCTAAGCTGCATGCTGTATCCCGGTCAGTGACTCCTGGAAAGTCTATTGATGCCAGAGACAGACAGGCAACTAGCATTTTCAGCAGATTAACAATGAAAGCCCCAATATTTTTGCAATTTACAGATTTACTTTAAGCTGAGAACCTCACTCACTCCTTCTCACATGTCTTATCTCCCTCTATCTCCAAATACCTCTCTCGTTCCCTGGTGACCGACTCCACATAGACAGTGCAGATTCCACGTACAAGATTGTCTTTTGGGCTGCAGTAGGATGTATATTACTGCTGATTGGAGTCATCATTGGACTCTACTTTTGGAAAAAGTAAGTACAGCCATGTTCTTCTCCAGTATGTTTAACACAGGGATATTGAAATGTGCCCTGGGCTTTGTTGCAGGTATTACAAGGTGGTATCAAGTTCCGAGACTAGTTTTGTAACACTCCAACAGATGGCAGCACAAGGCTGCACACACAGTCACAGGGAGCACTGACCTTCATAACTCAGTGTGCCAAAAGACATTGTCCTGTGTACATCGGGAGCTGTACAACTAGTGCTATTCTGACCACGTGCATTACCAGATCTGCTATTTCATCATAGACAGCAAGTTAGAGCAAAGAGCAAACGTGAAATTCTGTGTGAAACCCGTACACCCAAGTTTTGTCACCGGTAATGATCCTAGATATGAAGGACAGGTCATCCATGGCACGCTGATGGAGGTCTTGGCAGACTTCAGCACGATTTTCCTTGTGCTCCTGGGTCAGCAGCCTGGGGACAAACTTGGCAGCAACAAGGCGCATGTTCAAATCACACATGAAGAGTGCCTGGACTGTTCCATATGACACACCGACAATGGCAGCAGTGTTGTGGATTGTTCTCTGATGATCATCATGCACACATTTCAACATTTTGAGCTTGTTGAAAGTCCTCCTAATCTCTCATCTTCCTCCAGTGATGTTCTTCTGCTCTTGAAGAGCATGCACCACTCAAAACACCTCGAACGACTCATTGTAGCATCGCCTTAAACTTGCTGAATCATGTCAAAAGTCTCTGTGGCAGATTTGCCCAGTTTCAATCAGAATTTAGCTTTTTTTTCTTTGTTTTAACTTGATGTCCATGATGAAATAGCAGATGCGGTAACGCACGTGGCTAGAATAGCACCAGTTGCACAGCTCCCGATGTACACAGGACGATGTCTTTTGGCACACTGAATTATGAAGCTCAGGAAGATGTCTTTTGGCACACTGAATTATGAAGCTCAGTGCTCCCTGTGACTGTGTGTGCATCATTGTGCTACCATCTGTTGGGGTGTTACAAAACTAGCTTTGAAACTTTTTGATACCACCTCGTATATCCCGATCCCCATTACATGCCTTGGCTTTAAGCTTTATTCTGGGTAAATGGAAATACATACAGAATATCTGAACTGTTTTACTCGCTACAGGATTTGTAGATATATTCAGCCGAGTTACCCCTGCTAGACAGCACAGCCAGGTCCGTGAGCCTGGGTTCACACTTATACGGTGCGGCATATCGCAGGTGATTCACAAAGGAACTGCACCGCATTCATGTGCAAATCACATGCAAATTCTGTGCGGTGCGATTTGAGCCATACATTTTGTATGTCTCTAATCGCATTGGATCCGCACCAAAAAGGTGCAGGACCCTTTTTTTTGTCCACACTAGAATCGGATCGCATGGGTACTATGCAATCTGATTCTGCACATCGCGCCGCGTTTTGCGGACCGATTTCGGGGTATTGTTAACTTAACATACACACTCGCAGCGGTTCTCATGAACGGGGTGCGATTGTGATGCGGTGCGGAATTCACACAGTAAACGATGCGAATTCCTCACGGCATCAGCGTGAACCCAAGCTCAATCGCCTAAACCTCTTCATTAGCAGTTTGAATATCAGTCCCAGGCAGTGAGTTTACAATAAAGTAGCAGCACATGGAGTTAATACTAAAAAACAAAAAAAAAAACAAATTTGCTGCAATACTTATCTTCAGGCTAGGTTCACACCTATGCAATTTGTGTTCGATCTGTTTCTGTAGTGTGTTTTGCGTTACATTTTGCGTTTTTGCCTTGTTTTTTTATGTGTTTTGCATATTTTTTTGTTTCTAGGCAGATTTAAAATGAAAAACGCTGCAAAAAATGCACTACATGCTGTTCTGCAGCGTTTCCTTTGACGTCTATATAACCAAAAATGTTTTGCATTTAAAAAATCCCTGACCCTTTCCAAAAAACGCAGCGGGTGAAAACGCGGAGATGTGAACCTGTCCCATAGGAAATCATGTTAAATGGACTGCTGTGCGTTTCTGCAAAACAAAAAATGCTGCAGAAAACACTTAGGTGTGAACTTAGGGTTAATCCAAAGCCTAGGCCATGCAGTCTGGGCCCAATGTATTACTGTTTTGAGAGGCAGTGGGTGCAGGAGTAAGGCTGACCCACCAATGTCGGCAGTCTGGCCAGAAGGCCCCTGAGGGGGCCACTGTGTAATATTTTCCCTTTGGGATAGATAGCATATCAGGGCAGTTTGAAAATAAATAAAATATAATAAAAATAATGAAGAAATGATATACAGAATACTATCTCTACAGGAAATATGATAATCATAATACAATGATTTTAGTGATAGTTCACTTTTTAAAAAGTCGAAGAAAAAAAAAAAAGGAAGAAAAAAAAGTTTTGCTTTTAGATATACTTTAGGGCTGCTAAAGTGGCCTCTCAAGCCATGAGTGATAAAATTACTTTGGAAGCCGCTTTAGCATACCATAAGTGCTTCCACAGCTTGACCTCCCTGGCGGTATTCCCGAGTGTAGCTCGGGGTAAAGTTTCAGTACCAAAAGCGGTAACCCCGAGCTACACTCAGGCTTACATGCAGCGCTGCATAGGGAGTCCCTGCAGAGCTTACCTTGTCCTTCGCTCCCACGATGTGTCCCCTGCAGCGTCCCCGGTCATCTCCTCCGGCCGATGCCGGCATCTGGCTTCCGTGTTCCGGTCCCTGCGACATCGGGTTGTACGGGCGCCGGAACTGGCGGCAAATTTGAAAATTTAAAAAAAATGACTTTTTTTAAAACGATTATTTCATAGCAAAACATTCCTGTATCAAACCATTTCACATACATTTTGTCCCGAGTGCTTTGTCCGGCGCCCTGCCTGCATTTTTACTGTTCTTTCTGCCTGGAAACTGAGAAACGTCCATGGCGTCCAAAAAGCGTCCCTTTAGGTCAAAAGCGGTTTTAGACCGGCTAGAGAACAGCAATAGTAAATCAGAACCACTTGCAGAATTGAGTGATAATGATTCGTGGGGGAAATTCATCATCAGACACTGAAAACGATTCTGCGACTTTGCTCAGCGATGTGCGAACTTGGCGCTATATTTCACATTTCAGTGTTTTTGGTTTGATTATATTATTGAATTACATTTTTTATTATATTATTATTTTTTATGAGTATTTATTAAATTATAATTTATGATTTTGTGTTTCAAGTTTTATCATACCCGGGATGTTTACTAGACTCTTGTTCGGACAGATTTCACTGAGTTATTCCTAAGAATTACAGGCCTACAATAAAAAAAATACATATTTCCATGCACAAAAATGGTACCGCTTTTGGTACAAAATTCCTGACATAATCAAACCACCAGGGAGGTTAACCTCTTCACGCTGGCTGAACGCAAAAGTGCAGCCTCCCAGCGTCTGCGCCTAAACGCCGAGCGGCCGCACATTTGCGTTCTATTAAAAAAGGACATATGTGCCGAGAGCGTGCTCCCAGCACACATGTCCGGCACTTACGGAAAGGTCCCGATCTCCTCTTTCAATCGGGACCTTTCCCGATCATGGGACCGCAGTGACGGCGCATCACGGCGGTCACATGACACTAAACCCCGCCCCGCCTCCCGGCTTCTGAAACTCTTAAAGAGCCGGGGGGCGCCGGCGTGAAGGGGTTTTAATGATCCATGAACCTTGTCATGAAGTTGAAATGTAATCAGCTTATAGGTTGTCTTTGTTGGTTCATCCCTTCCCCCTTCAACATGCCAATAACATTTTTAAATTAATATTTTCTGGTTCCATTCCATACCCCACTTCAGACAGTGATGTCATCACTAGGCCTCTGTACTTCTCTGTACAATGCAAGCAGATCATGGCTGGAGGAATGGGCTACGCAGTTGACATTCTGCTGCTTTTATCTTTTAGCAGAAAGCAAGAAAGACTGATTTTGAAAACAGACGATGAGTCTTTGGAAATGGACAGCAAAGAAATCACACAGGTAATTCTTTTTGAAATTCCCATGACACTTAGCGTGCAGAATGTACTGTTTTAAGTGAAAAACATTCAAGCAACACAGGGAATGGCCTAATAACAATCGTCCACAGAACTAATGTATGTATACTTGCACAGGTCGATCGCTCAAATTATTTCTATAAATGTACCCCTTTGGGGGTAGAAAAAAGAGAAATGTATTATCAATGAAAATTATCATTATTTTGTGACAACTTTTATTTCCTTTTTTGTGTTGTCATATATATTTTTGTCTATTGCTCTGTAAATACTGGATTTTTTTCCAACAAAGTAGATAAAGGCAACCCTTGAATAACAAATGATAAGGAACCTAGAGCTCCAGCTGCAGGCTTTAGGTTGTTTATTTGCATCCAATCAGGCATGCCCTCATACTACATAGCTGTTGGTACATTTCTAAAGGAGATTGTGCAATTAGATTGTATAGTGTGTGGTCAGTTTTGGGGTTCCAGGTAAGGGATTATGAAACAGAAAGGGATTTTGTTTTCTTTACCTAAAATAATTGGAATTTCACTTTTTTTCCCCAGAATTGAACTGTCCTCTTGGAATGTTCATTTAGAGATATCGGGTTGGCTGGTTTGATATCTGAATTCACCTAAACGATAAAAGACTTTCCTGTCAATCTAGAGTCAAAGATTGTACAAAGATTGTACCGAGATTGGACACCAAGCAGACAAACCTCAAGGGACAGAGACACAACAGACACTCAAAGACTGTAGGAAAAATGGCCAATCAGGAGGACATAAAACAAAACAGACTCATCTTGCTCAACCCAGGTTGTCCATAAAGACGTTGAGAGTAATTGTTACTGTGAGTAGAGCTGCTGTCCACCATCATAGAAACTGTACAATTGGAACTGGCGCTTGAACCCAGCATTGCTTCAATTATTTAGTGGACGTAAAATAAAAATTGCATGTATTGCCTCAGCACTTACGCGTTTTATCCCAGAAGGGCCTTAATCATAAGGCCCTGCTGTGCTGAAACGTATAAGACTGAAGCAATACGTGAAATTTTTATCCTGTGTCCAATAAAGTATTTCAAGTAATCCCAAAATCAAATTCTGGTTTCAATTGCCCAATTAGGAGAATCAATCCGGTTCATGTGTGTAACTGTCATCTGGAGCTATGATTAAGGTCCTGCTGAGCTGAAACACGTAAGTTCTGAGGCATCACATGGAATTTTTATCCTGTGTCCAATAAAGTAATTCCAACAATCCTGAGATTGAGTACCGGTTTCTATTGCCCAATTAGGAGGATCCATCTGGTTCATATTTGTAACTGTCATTCGGAGGTATGATTAAGGCCCTGCTGGGCTGAAACTCGTAAGCACTGAGGCATCACATGGAATTTTTATCCTGTGTTCAATAAAGTCATTCCAACAATCCTGAGATTGACTACCGGTTTCTATTGCCCAATTAGGAGGATCCATCTGGTTCATATTTGTAACTGTCATTCGGAGGTATGAATAAGGCCCTGCTGGGCTGAAACTCGTAAGCACTGAGGCATCACATGGAATTTTTATCTTGTGTCCAATAAAGTCATTCAAACAATCCTGAGATTGAGTACTGGTTTCTATTGCTCAATCAGGAGGATCTATCTGGTTCATGTTTGTAACTGTCATTCGGAGGTTTGATTAAGGACCTGCTGGGCTGAAACATGTAAGCACTGAGGCATCACATGGAATTTTTATCCTGTGTCCAAATAAGTAATTCAAGCAATCTCAGAATCAAGTTCTGGTTTCAATTGCCCAAGTAGGAGGATCAATCTGGTTCATGTTTGTAACTGTCATCTGGAGCTATGATTAAGGCCCTGCTGAGCTGAAATACGTAGGCGCTGAGGCATTACATGGAATTTATGTCCTGTGTCCGATAAAGTCATTCAAGCAATCCTGATATTGAGTACCGGTTTCAACTGCTTATTCAGGAGGATCCATCTAGTTCACACTTGTAATTGTCATCCGGAGCTATGATTAAGGCTGAAACGCGTAAGTATGAGGCATTACATGGAATTTTTATCCTGTGTCCACTAAAGAAATTCAAGCAATCTCGAGACTGAGTGCCAGTTTTTACTGCCCGATCTGGATGATCTAACTGGTTCATGTTTGTAACTGTCATCCGGAGCTAAGATTAAGGCCCTGCTGGGCTGAAATGCGTAAGAGTTGAGGCATTGCATTGATTTTATATCCTGTGTCCAATAAAGCTATTCTGGGATCAAGTGCCAGTTTCAATCGCCCAATCAGGAGGATAGATCTGCTTCATATTTTTAACTGACATCCAGAATCCAAGCTACCAGATTACACTGCAGGCTAGACTATGCCTACAGCCTGCAATGGAAAACCTCACCACTAGGGAAGGATCTTTGGTCTTTTTTTATTTTTATAACAAAGTACTCAATTTCCAGTGATTTAAAGCAGAACTCCACCCAGAAAATTAGCATATCAAAATAAAAGACAAAAAAAAAAAAAAAACAGCTTTTGCTGCAATACGCACCTTCAATCTGGAGCTGTGCTACCAGTACTTCTCTACCACCACAAGATGGCAGTATCATTCAGCTCGCTTCCCCAGGCCATCCTGGACCATCCCCAGCCTGTGACTGGACAGTGAAAGGAGAAGCAGCACAGGGATGAGCTCATCTGTCTGTCACTCTGTTCTCTCCTCATATCAGCATGCTTCTGGAACTTTCACGGTGGGGATGGTGTGTTCAGGGTGATGTGCAGTGTTAGTTTTTCGCCACACACACAGCATTTTGCTTTTAGGGCAAAAAGTTAAATTTTGGTCTCATCTGACCAGAGCACCTTCTTCCAGATGTTTGCTGTGTCCCCCACATGGCTTCTCACAAACTGCAATCGGGACTTCTTATAGCTTTCTTCCAACAATGGCTTTCTTCTTGCCACTCTTCATAAAGGCCAGATTTGTGGAGTGCATGAATTGTCCTGTGGACAGATTTCCCACCAGAGCTGTGGATCTCTGCAGCTCCTCCAGAGTTCCCATGGGTCTCTTGGCTGCTTCTCTGATAAATGCTCTCCTTGCTCGGCCTGTAAGTTTAGATGGACGGCCATGTCTTGGTAGGTTTGCAGTCGTGCCACACTCTTTCCATTTTCAGATGATGGATTGAACAGTGCTCTGTGAGATGGTCAAAGCTTGGGATATTTTTATATAACCTAACCCTGCTTTAAACTTCTCCACAACTTTATCCCTGACCTGTCTGGTGTGTTCCTTGGCCTTCATGATGCTGCTTGTTCACTAATGTTCTCTAACAAATCTCTGAGGGCTTCACAGATCAAGAGATTACATTACACACAGGTGGACCCTATTCACTAATTAGGTGACTTCTGAATGCAATTGGCCCCACTAGATTTTAGTTAGGGGTATCAGAGTAAAGGGGGCTGAATACAAATGCAAGCCACACTTTTCAGATATTTATTTGTAAAAAATGTTGAAAACCATTTCTCATTTTCCTTCCACTTCACAATTATGTGCCACTTTGTGTTGGTCTATCACATCAAATCTCAATAAAATACAGTTACGTTTTTGGTTGTAACACGACAAAATGTGGAAAATTTCAAGGGGTTTGAATACTTTTTCAAGGCACTGTACATGTTGGGTAAACTTTACCACATGTGCGAATAAAAGCATTGCAACCATGACATGTGAACACCCCCGTCCACTGCCAGATTAAGAGGAGGTGGTTGGGGAATGGCAAAAATGCGGCTTAAACATGCATTTTTGACACACCCCAAGTCTAAATGAAGCCTAAAACAGAACTAAATTCTCTCTATCAACACTGACTATTTTTAATCCGTAACATTAGTAAATAGATAGGAAGGTATATCATATTTACTTCTTTTAAACATTTGGCAAACTAGGCAAATGATGTTAT